ATATGGAAATCAATAAACATGATTCACCACATAATCAGAAGCAAATACAAAGATGACATGATCATCTCAATAGATGCAGAAAAAGCACTCGCTAAACCCCAGCACCCTTTCATAACAAAAACCCTTAACAAACAAGGCATATCAAACAAGGCATATCAAACAAGGCATATAAGGAACACACCTCAAAATTCTAAAAGCCATATATGACAAACTCACAGCCAACATCATGCTGAACGGGGAAAAATTGAAAGCATTCTCCCTAAGAACTGGAACAAGACAAAGGTGCCCACTATCAGCACTTCAATTCAACACAGTACTGGAAGTCCGAGCCAGAGCAATCAGATAAGAGAAAGAAATAAAGGACATTAAAATTGGGAAAGAGGAGATCAGACTATCCCTGTTTGCTGACAATATGATCTTGTATCTCGAAAATCCTAAAGACTCCACCAAAAGAATCCTAGAATTGATAAATAAATTCAGCAAAGTCTCATGTTATAAGTTTGATGTATACAAACCAGTAGCATTTGTATATACCAATAACAGTCAAGGTAAGAGTCAAATCAAGGATTTAATACCATTCACAACAGCTACAAAGAAAATAAAATACTTAGGAATATACTTACCCAACGAAGTGAAAGATCTCTACAAGGAGAACTATAAAATACTGATGAAAGAAATTATAGGTGACACAAACAAATGGAAAAATATCCCATGCTTATGGATGGGTATAATCAACATCATGAAAATGTCTATACTGCCTAAAGTGATTTTCAGAGTCAATGTAATCCCTGTCAAAATACCAATGTCATATTTCACAGATCTAGAAAAAAATAATTCTAAGCTTCATTTGGAACCAAAAAAGAGCCTGAATAGGAAAAGCAGTCTTAAGCAAAAAGAACAAATCTGGAGGCATCACATTACCTGACTTCTGATTATACTACAAGGCTACAGCAAACAAGACAGCATGGTACTGGTATAAAAGTAGAGACATAGACCAATGGAACAGAATAGAGACCCCAGAAGTATAACCACAAAGCTATGACCAAGTGATTTTTGACAAAGCAGACAACAACATACACTGGAGAAAGGAAGCTCTATTCAATAAGTGGTGCTGGGACCACTGGACAGCCACGTGCAAAAGAATGAAACAGGACCTCTGTTTCTCATCGTGTACAACCACTAATTCAAGATGGATGAAAGACTTAAATGGAAGGCATGAAACTAAAGATTCCAGAAGAAAACATAGGAAAAATTCTTCTAGACATTGGCCTAGGCAAAGAATTTATGAGTAAAACCCCAAAGGCAAATATGGCAACAACAAAAATAAAGAAGTGGGACTTAATTAAATTAAAAATTTTCTTCACAGCAAAGGAAACAATCAACAGATTAAATAGACAACCTACAGAATGGGAAAAAATATTTGTAAACTATACATCTAACAAAGGGCTAATATCCAGAATCTACAAAGAACTCAAACAAATCAGCAAGAAAAAGCCTCATCAAAAAGTGGGCAGAGGCGTGATCAGAAGTTTTTCAAAAGAAGATACACAAACGGCCAACGAACATATGAAAAAATGTGCAACATCAGTAATCATCAGGGGAATGAAAATTAAATCCACAATGAGATACCACCTTATCCCTATCAGAATGGCAATATTAAAAAGTCAAAAAGCAATAGATGCTGGCATGGATGTGGTGAAAAAGGAATATTTATATACTGTTGGTGGAACTGCAAATTAGTACAACCTCTGCGGAAAACAGCATGGAGATTCCTCAAAGAAATACAAGTAGACGTACTATTAGATCCAGCAATCCCACTACTGGGTATGTACCCCAAGGAAAAGAAGTCATTTTATTAAAAAGACACCTGCACTTGAATGTTTATTGCAGCAAAATCCACAATTGCAAAGATGTGGAATCAACCTAATTGGCCATCAGTTAATGAGTGGATAAAGAAAATGTGCCATATATATATATCGTGAAGCCATACTCAGCCATAAAAAGGAATGAAATAATGTCATTTGCAGCAACTAGGATGGAACTGGAGACCATTATCCTAAGTGAAGTATCACAGGAATGGAAAAAAACACCACATGAACTCTCTAATAACTGGGACCTAATTCTTGGGCACACGTGGACACAAAGAGATATAAAGGACACAGGAAACCAAGAAGGGGGAGGTGGTGGGGGTGGGGGATAAAAAGTTACCTGTTGGATACAATGAATCCTATTCTGGTGAGGGGCGCAGGGAAAGCGCTGACCTCAGCATTATACAACGTGTCCACGTAACAAATTTTTTTTTTTTTTTAAGACAGAGTCTCGCTCTGTTGCCCTGGCTGGAGTGAGTGCCGTGGCGTCAGCCTAGCTCACGGCAACCTCAGACTCCTGGGCTTAAGCGATCCTCCTGCCTCAGCCTCCCAACTAGCTGGGACTACAGGTATGCGCCATCATGCCCGGCTAATTTTTTCTATATATATATTTTTAGTTGTCCAGATCATTTCTTTCTATTTTTTGGTAGAGACGGGGGTCTCACTCTTGCTCAGGCTGGTCTCGAACTCCTGACCTTGAGTGATCCACCCGCCTCGGCCTCCCAGAGTGCTAGGATTACAGGCGTGAGCCACCGCGCCCGGCCTCGTAACAAACTTTTGTACCCCCTTAGTATTTTGAAAAAAAAAATAAAGAAAGCGATAAATTAAAAAAAAGAGTACAGAGAAAACAGAGGGCAGAAATGATCAAATACAGTATTTAAGAAAACTTCCCACGAGTGGAGGACACATGTTTCTACACTGAAGAAAACAACTCAGCAAGGAGCGCAGTGGATGAAAAAGTGCTAACAAGGCACATCCCCTCGAAAATCCTGAACACAGAAGGCAGACAGAGGAAGCAACGAGTTTTCAGAGAGAGAGAAAGAAGAACATACACAAGGAGAGAAGTTGGAACGGCAGGGCAGCCTGGCAGCTGAGAGACGATGCAGCCATGTCTCCCAAATTCCGACCGACATTGTTTCCAGACTGGGATTCTATTCCCAGACAAACTCCCAATCAGGCACGAAAAAGAAATGCAAGGTCTCAAAAAGCTCGTATCCAACGTGCCTTTTCTCTGGAAGTAAAATAAGGACGGAGAAGCTAGGAACCCGCAGGACCCAGGAGTCCAACCCCAGGGCCGGAGGAGGGAGAGCCCAGGAAGGCGGCTGTGTGTGCTGGCCAAGCAGCGGTGCAGAGAGCAGCCCGGGGATCCGGGGAGGTGAAACGTCTGGACGCCCCCGCGTCTGAACGCAGCGAGAGGAGCTTGACGCCGAGGAAGGAAGGTCGGGGGGTGAATTCGGGGCAGGTGTGCAGACGGCTAAGCAAATGGAAGAAGGAAGGCATCGACTCCAAGGAAAACAGAAACAGAAAGGAACTGCAACCAGCACATACTGGAAGACTCAGCCTCGGACCGCGTCCGCACAGTCTTCACGTCGATACCGCGAAGACCGATTCTAGAGGAGGCGGGCAGGGCAGTGCATGAAAGGGAGCTAAGTCCTCACATCCTTTAACGGGAAATTAACAGATAAAGCTTAAAGTCAAAACTAACCATTCATAGCAAGCAGCAGTATATAAAAGAAACCAGATGCCCAGTGTACACGCTGCGTGACCTCGTTTAGAGGACGTGCGAGGACCGGCCAACCCAGTCAGTGGGGACAGCCTCAGGCAGGTCGTCACTGCTGGGCGAGGGCATTGAATGGGATGGGACCAGAGAGAATGTTCTGGAGAGGTGGAAATGACCCAGACCCAGATCTGGGTGTCCTTACGTACGTGAAAGTGAACACAGACGTTCCTCGAGCTCTCACACGCACACACCTGACGTGCACACGCATTTCACACCAATAAAAAACGGAACAGGAGAAAAAGAGGCGGGCGTGCGATCTGTCGGTGCAGGGGAAGCACAAAATAACAGCTGAGAAAACTGAAAGTGTCTCTGGAGAAGCAAAGTGGGGAGAGAGAAAAATTTCTCTGTGCTGAGCCTCGCAGAATTGCTTGACTCCGTGAAATCAGGTGCACGTACGACTTTGGTTTTGTGAAGGCAAAACAGACAAACCTACGGAATAGGCAACCTACAGACGCCCGGCACACAAGCGACATTCGTGTCCTGCTGCACGTGGAGGGCAGGTGACAACATGTGACCGGGGCCCAGACTCACAGGGCCGACACTGCGCCGCCAGGACAGGGCCCGGGCGGCGGCCTCGCCCTCTGACCCGCCGGCCGCTCACCTCGTAGGTTCCGGATAAAGTCTTCCAGCATCATCTTCCGGTCGGGCTTGATGTTGGGGCTGTACATGTCGGTGTTGAGGAGGATGATGGCGAAGGCGAGGATGAAGATGGTGTCCGGGTTGTGGAACTGCTGCACCACCTCGGGGTTGCACATGCAGTAGCGCTGGCTGTGGCGGGGGACGCAGAGTGACGCTGAGCTCCGGCAGTGGGGGCTGCGAGGGGGTGTCCCTGCCCCCTGGGGCTTCAGGCCCAGGAGACCACTGTCTGCCCTCACCCTGTCCTCATCCCCCTGGGGGGACAGGCTGGTGTCACGCCCCGAATGCCCTGCCGTGCCAGCCTGGCGCGGAGGCTCAGCGGAGGCCTCGGTGCACGGGCCGAGTGCATGGCAGCCCCCCAGGGCAGTGCCGCTCCCAGCCCGGGAGCTGCAGGGCGCCGGCCCTTTGCTCGTCTTCCCTCCTTTCTCCCCAGCCCCCACTCCCGCTGCACCGGAAGGGGCTCTCCAGCCCCCCGACCGACCCTCCGGCACCTCCCGCCTCCAGGCACACAGCGGCTCTGCTTCCCCACCCGGGGCTTCCGGAGGGGTCTGGCGGGGGGCTGGGGGGCCCACCTGAAGGCCTCGATGAGTCGCTCCACCTTCTGGGCCTCGCCCTGCACGCGGATGTGCGCCTGGAACTTGCGCAGGGCCTCGTCCAGCTCCATGCTGGAGAAGTCCATCTCGTCCACCACGCAGCTGCGGGCAGGGGTGCGGAGGGCGTGAGGACGAGCTGGCCCCCAGACTGCCCGCACCACCCCCGCTGCCCCGGCCGCCAGCCAGGAGGGACGGTGCAAGGCCTCCCAGGCTGCCCACGCCAGGGGCCGCTTGGTGACCCACGGGCACCGCCTTGCCCCGCCTCCTCTCGCCCCTCACGTGGCCCGCAAGGAGGCCAGAGGCTGCCGCCGCCCTCCCACAGCCGGCCTGAGGCGCAGAGCTGGGCTGAGCTCAGATCCCCCGACCCGGGTCCCACGTTCTCTCCTCTCACCCTCGGAGCACGTCAGAGTCAGACGAACCCTCAACGATCAACAAGACAGGAAGCACGTTTATTCTCCCCAGTGGAATTTCCACCTTCCCCTCCGGGCCTGCAGCCGACAGAACCGTGCCAGGGCCCGTGCGCAGGTGGACGCCAAGGGAGCCGAGCCCCAGGCCTCCCCCTAGCCGTCCCAGCCCGCAGGGGGGCCGTGGCCTCTGAGGGGCAGGTCGTGAACTCGGCCTCCTGTGAGGGGCAGCGTGACAGGTAGGGCCGGGGCCCGGCCTTTCTGTCTCTGAAATGCCACCTGTACCCTGGCGGTGTCTCCGAACGTCCCGCTTCAGTGCGTGGGAGGCGGGGGGGTCGCGTGCCAGCCGCCAGCCGAGCAGGCTCCTTCCTGCGGCCAGGCCCCTCCTGCCACAGGTCTGGGGCCGGGCCCACCCAGCACCCCTCCCACCTCCCATGCCCCGAGCCAGGCTTTCCCTTCAGCGTCCCCGACGCGGCGCCCAGGTGCCAGCAGCTCCGGAGCTGGCGTCTCCCGCCTCCCTTTCTGCCCCCACGCTGCACCCCGGTCTCCTCTTGGCTGGCTACCGCCCAGCCCCACGTCACCCCACGCTGCCCACTCCGGGTCAGCGGCTCCTGTCTGCTCCCATCGTCCCCTGGCAGACCCCACCGCGATGTCACGTCCCCGGGTGTCCGCCGCCTGCCCTGCGCGGAGGGCGGGACGGGCCCGGCTGGGAGCCCAGCGCACTGAGGGCTCAGGAAACGCCTGCCTGGTGGCGGCGTGGGGTTGGGCGAGCTCTGAGCAGCATCTGTTCCCTCCACGACCCCAGCCCGACCTGGGCCCACTGCCCGGAAGACTCAGAGACCCCAGCTCTGCCGTCCCTCTGCGGGAGAAGACAAGGGGAGACGCCACGGTGGCCGGGGGAGCGAGGACAGAGCACGGAGAGGGGAGGGCTGAGAGGGAGCTGGGGCTGCCTCTCCTCCTCCTGCCGCCAAGCGCAGGCCCGCGGCCACCTTCGGGCTGGGAGCCCACCCGTGGCCTGGCCAAACCCTGCTCCTCTCAGGCTCGGGCCTGGAGGGTGAGTGGGCGACAGGGTGGGCCGGGGGCAACGCCAGCGTCTGTGCCTTTGAGGTGGGCGGCGGGTCGCAGAGGTCGCTAGGCGAGAGGCTGCTCTGATTTCCTGGTGGCCCCTGTGGCCTCCGCTCTGCACTGGCGGAGATGCAGGGTGAGTGGGTGCAGGCGGAGTGGTGTTGGCCGGGAGCACCCCTCACCCTGGTGGGGCCCAGCAGGGGCAGTGGGCCCAGCCCGCCAACCCCGCCGAGAGAGGCCTGATCCCTGCAGGGCCCCAGGGTGGCCCCGTGTCCCTCTGGTCTGGCGCTGGCGGCTCTCCAGGACTTGCCCCCATCCGTTCTGCCCTCCTGCTGTGGGGCCTGCACCCGGCTTCCCGAGCCCGTGTCCCTCCCAGAGCCCCTCTCGTGCACCCTCTGCCCCAGAGCTTGGGCCAGGGCTCACCCCGCAGTGACGAGGGCAGGTGCTGGGTGGCCCAGGGCGCCGTGGGGGCAGGTGGCTGGAGGAGGCAGCGGAGCGGCTGGCGGGGGTAGGATCTGCTCAGCCAAGCGCGGCGGCCTAGTTTCCAGCCCTCCACGCGGGTGACGGGCAGCCGCTCCCTCGCACACTCGGGGCTGCGGCTAAAAGCCCCCGTGACGAGCCCAGAGCCCAAGAGCCAAGGACGGGGCCGGGGGGAGCGGCCGGGTGGGAAGGCCCACGGAACCCGAGCTGAACAGTCGGGCCCACGGCCGGAGGGCCACGGAGGAGGACCCCATGCTCGAGCCAGAAGGTGGTTTGTTAAAATGCGATCCCCAGATCCCAGCCCAGATCCAGGGGATCAGAACACGGGCGGCAGGGCCTGGGGGTCGGCATTCTTCGCACGATCTCCAGGCGATGCTTCAAATGTGGAAACCAACGGCTGAGCTGAGGGCAAGGGCAGGAGGGGGCCCTTTGGAGGCTTTTCAAATGTGAGCCCGGGAACTCACAGGCCACCCGGCCGCAGCCCTCGGGGCACGCGAGTCCCCACTGGCTATCGGCAGTGAGGCGGCGAGGGAGGGATGGACGGAGGCACGGACAGAAGCGGTCCGCCATGCCCAGCTTCCTGCCTCGTTCCCTGTCGCCGTGGGCAGCCGTGCTCGGTGGGCAGGCGCTGGCCTGGGGTCCTCAGACCCTGGCGAACCCACAGCCCCAGCTGGAGGGGAGGGGGCTGTGCAGAGTGGTGCAAAGGTGTGGCCCGCCTCCTCCAGGCAGGCCGCCTCCTGGCTGCAGAGTTGGGGGTGGGACCAGGTGCCCCCACAGGGCGGAGGGCGGTGCCAGGGCCCCGTGGCCGGCTCTGCTGCACTCACAGTGACTGGCGGCTCCTCCCCCTCGCTCCTCCCAGGGGTCACTGTTCGCTTTCCTGGCGGGGCCTCGGTCCTCCCGGGGAGGGGGGCCGGGAGCGGGACTCCCCAGAAGCAGCCCCGGCTGTGTCCCTCCCAGCACGAGCTGTTCTTCACCCCACAAGCGGAAGCTCCAGCCTGCGCCTCGCCCCCCACCCCCTCTCTCCTTCTCCCGCCTCTGCCCTGCTGCTTCCCGCATTTCCCAGCACCCACCTCCACCTACTTCCCGTCTCCCCCTTCCTTCCTGCCTCGCCGCCCTGGAACCCTCACGGGGAGCAGAGCGTGCACAGTTGACCGAACCCGTCCTGCTGCCCTGACCCTGGACGGCCAACAACCATGTCTCCTCGCTGATCCTTAGGTGGGAAGCATCACACACGCCCAGGCGGTCTTTCCTGGTGTACGATCTCCCCATTTTACTGAAAGTAAAACTGAGACCATGTAGGGGCTTGCCCCATGCCCCCACTACTAGGAAGAGCAGGCGTTTGGCTTCCTGGTCCGTGAGCTCCACCCCCGTCCCCCACAGCGGTGGGGCCGTCTGCCCCTCCACCCTGCATGTGTGGTCACGGGGTGGCAGGTGACGCCAACTCCAGGGCAGCAGGTCCTAACCTCTGAGCTCCCATCACCGAGCACGGTCCTCGGTGCTGCGTTAAGTGGGCAACAACTTTGTCTTCTCGAAGGCCTGTGCAGAATTAACCACTATCCCGTAATTTCTATCATATACGAGCCAACCGAAGCGCACAGGATGGCCAGCCCCGCGGGGGCACGGCACACATCCCGCTCCCGGCTGCACCTCCGGGGCCAGGCGGGCCCCCCACGTCCCCACCCTGGCTGGCTCTCTGCTGCTCAGCGCCTCTCCCCGGGCTGCTGTCTCGCCCCGACGGCTGGTGGGGTCTGTGAGGCGCGGGGGGGGCGGTATTCGGAGAGAACGTGTGCGCCGCAGTCACCTGCAGGCTCGGAGCCGGCCTGGGCACACAGAGCCCCAAACCGGTGGGGGTGGGGAGGAGGGCAGTGTCCCTGACCTCCCGCCCGCCCCTCTCCAGGGCTTTATCGACCGCGCGGTGCCCGGCTGGCTTTCCTTCCTTTAGCAAACATGCCCCGAGTGGCTCCTGTGTGTGAGTCTGTGCTAGGGACCTGGGCAGAGCGGCAAGCAGTACACGCACAGTCTCTGTCCTGGTCGGAGAGACCGGCATGGAACAGTCAAAAATAACTCTTTAACGATAGCCGTGTTGAGTTCTACAGCGGGAAGGGACAGGGTTCCACAGAGGACAAAGCTGAGACATATTTTACATTGCCGTGTCTGGAAAGGCCTCTTCGGGGACGGGACATTCGAGCTAAGACCTGATGGTGAGTAAGAGTCGGCCAAGAGAAGGGGCGGGAAGAGCTTTCAGCAGGGCCAGGGGAGAATCTATGCAAAGGCCCTGTGGCAGGAAACAACCTTCCACGACCCAGAAGGGGCCGTGAGCCTGCAGTGCAGACAGTAGCGGGGAGAACGGCCACTGCAAGGCGGGGCAGGTGGCAGGGACTCGATCCGTCAGCTTTGCAGGTCAGGAGAAGGATTTTGGAGTTTCTCCTGAATGCAATGGGAAACAACAGAAGGCGTGATCAGAGGTGTGACATGATCCTGTTTGCTGTAAGATGATCTCTCTGGCTGTTGGGGGCAGGATGAGGGGTGGGGAGGGGCCGGGAAGGAGAGCGAAGCAGGGGCCGGGCTGTGGTGCTACTGCACAGGTCCTAGCCAGAGGGGACCAGAGGCTTGGGCTGAGGCAGGAGCGGCAGGGAAGAGCTGAACACGTGATCTGAGGCACATCTTAGGAGCAGAGCTGACGGGACCGGGTGACAGACAGGATGTGGGCAGTGAGAAAGAGGAGGAGTCTACGATGCGTCCCAGAGCTCGGCCTAGAGCACTGAGCCCGGAGGGGCTCTTCTCTGAGACGAGTGTGCGGTGCGCGTGCTGGGGAGGGGCACGGCCTTCAGTCTGGGACACAGCAAGTCTGAGACGTCCTTCCAGACAGTCGCGATGTCTCTCTCTGCCGCGTCATCACTGGCACCCAGACGCTCGTCTTTTTCGTCTTGCAAAGGGAAGCCCTGCTCTGACCCTTCATTGCTCTCCAGTCTCTGCCCCTTTTCTCTCCTCCTCTGTGGAGCAAACTTCCGGATGTCCCTGCTCACGCTGTCCCCGCTTCCTCACTTCCTGCCACTCTCGACCTGCCCCACTCGAGCGCCCACCGCCAGGATGCCACACGCCGCCAAACCCTCGGACTCTCTTCCGTCCTCTTCCCAGCCCCCGGGCAGCATC